CTGCGCCCTACCGCCGAAGGAGAAGCACTCCGTAAAGTACCTGTCCGTCGGCGGGAACACGCAATAAGGGGGCGGCAAAAATGTACCCATAAAAAACAAACACAAAAATCAAATAAAAAATAATAAAAACAAAACAACAAATCAACAAAACCAACATTTATGCAATCTACGACAAATCAGGGTGTACAACATAGGAAAGTTTTTATCTAGAAAAAAGTAGTAGGTATCTACTAAGCTTATAGATTACCTATCTTTATAGCAAAAATAACTAGCTTTAAACTCATAACGATTTTTAACTCATAAGTTAGGTACATTATCAATGACAATCAGACAATAGTCTGAAACTTTCAGTTCAGGAAAATATAGAAAATGGTAAATTGGCTGACGATTGTCAATCATTAGTTAACGATATGATATCCAATGAGTTACGTTGATGAGCAATACAATCGTATAGCTCAATCAACGATTCATATTCAATTATCAGCAGCTGGAAACAATTCCAAGGTAATTGAGGTAATAAGCGCCTTCATAATTCACTTTATGAAGTCCGTATATGGAAATTCTATGGTTTCTGTTATTACTGTGAATATTTTACGTTAAACAATTGCAAATGGGCTAAATGTTATATTTAATTATTTAAACATGAAAATGATTTTTTTACTTTTATCGCAACTACCAATTCCACAGTTGATTTATTTAATTAAACTTTTACACATAATGTTACAAAGACGGACTTAATGCCTGGTAGCATTCTTTACTTGTCAACCACAGGTGAAGCAGAGAAAAACAACATAAGACCAATTTTATCAAAATGTTTAAAATATATAATAAAATTATGTATCTTTAAGCGATGAAAATTTAACAGTACGATTAATAGATGGCGGTATTACAGCTAGGTATGCCACAAAACTCATTTAATTAATCAGTAGGTAGTCGTCTGATATTTTAAGTGACATCTTACAGTCCCTGCACTCAGTCAACCCTTAAAATCTTTTAGCCCCTTCAAAATGAAGGGACTGTCGTAACAATCCTCCAAAGTACCTACGTCATAATGCATACCCAACCTGCATATACATTTTGGCTAATGATTTAGAACGAGACGTCTGCATACGTCTGGCTTAAGAGCGAGAGAGACAATCGTATCAAGATGTTTCGTAAAAGGTCAGTGGGTGATGTCGACGACCGGACGAAAATAGGGGAAGCATTTTCGCGCGCTTTCTTGTCACGTTGACAGTTGTATGTCGGCCATGTTGGAAAATACAGATTGTGCAATGCTCCTCTATTTTCGTTTGGCGGGAATGTAAATGTAGCGTGGTATTTCGACAAGGCGCTAATTTTGTATCGGATAGCAAGGAAGTTGCATTTGAATAACATCGAAAATGTGTCTCTATTTTAAGAGAATTGGATAGTGGGCTAGATAAGACCTAAATTAATTTGTCACCATTTTTTTTCGACATGCTAAAAGGCCCCCTATAGATTAGTATATTAAATAGGAGCTAGGCTTAATTGATTACAAAGCTTACATAAGTAACACCTAGATGGATAGTCCGTTCGTCTAATCTAACTAAAGTGACGCAAAATAGTTACCTATCTTACAAACGTTTTCCTAGTAATTTCACTTTATTAAAAATTGTCCGAATGAAAAAACTAAGCCAGTAGTTTAGTTCGAAGAAGTGTCTCACTTTTCTTGCGCTGACTCGGTTTCAAAGTATTTTAATTCTGTGTTTCAAAGCAAGTAAACATCTTTAGTTACCTAATTTATCATAAACTAATTGCAATTGATCTTCAGAGGGCTTTTTTTTTCTCGTCAGGAAATGCATGAAATTGCATACCCACGTCGTCACTAGTGAGCGCGTAAAAAATTATATAAATTAATGTATGACGGATTGTACAGCGTCCCTAGCGGAAAGTTTCAAGAACTACAATTTTCATATATTTTTAACGCACTCACTAGTGAAAATCACACTCAGCCCTTAGGGCTCTTTTAAAAAAGTTGTGCTTGAAGTTACAGGTGTAAAATTTTCAGGTGTTGGCAGCCCTAACATAGACTGCAAAATAGACATCTCTACACTCTACAATGTAGTTTCCCGCTACAAACCACTTTGCATCGCAAATTCACAATGCGCTGCGAATCAAAGCATCACGTTGCTACTTTTTTGTGTCTTTTTGCTGTTTTCTAACACGACTTTTGCAAGCTTTGGCAAATCTTTTAGACTTAAATGGAATGAAAGTTCTTTTGTATTTTTTCAATTCTTAGAGCTTTATTTTTTCTTCTTTACACGATCCTATACAAAAAAAAAACAATTTTCTCTTGAAGCTGACGTTAAAACACTTGTTTCTTTCAATTGTTACCTAAACATACCTCTTATGCTTCTGCGTTTAAAAATTATATGCTTTCAATACCTTTTTTCAGCCAGTTCAAGGTTGAATTTCGGAAGACAAATTGATTTTGAGCGTGTGATTCAATTCCACAACTACAGCTGACGTTAGTCCCCCAACAAAGCAAGGTATTTTTAATTGCCTCCACGATATTGGCACTTCAAACGCTCAAAACAACAAATTACGTTCCAGCTTCGTTTCAGAACGTTCTTTCATACGTGACACAGTGGAAATTGAAACGTTTGCGCGACAGCACGCGACAGATACGTGTTGCCTTTGACTTGTTCTTTTGTCGCGTTGACGCTACGATTGTTCAGTATGGCGCACTGAGGGCTGTTTTGTGGGGTCCAAGTTGGAAGAATTTTATCACATTTTGAGACCCAGTTATAAATCTAACAATCAACATTAGTTAATTTAAATGGTCACATCTCATATCGGAGGCAACACTTTGGGTCGCTGAAAATATTATTATACTAGTTATAATGTGCTTCGAAAGGCAGTAGAGACCTCATATGGTAGCTCATAAAGTCTTTTAAAAAAGCACTGGTACTGCACTGGACCATTTATTGTCCCGAAGCAGTGGTATGGGTGTACTTAAGAAAGTGGCCCATTTGGAAATTAAAATTTCTGTTATGTATGTTAATTTAGGTGACGGCTTCAGCTGAACAATATCGTAATTTTATCTTACTTTGAACTATCTGCCAATTGTACCTACCTAAATCTGAAATAATTTTTAACCACTACCTCTATCGAAAGTCTTTAACCTTTTTTGACTCTCGTTAATCATATTTTTCGCGCCACTCGCTCTCTCCTGTCACTCGATACCTAGTACCGCGTCACAGTTCCGGAAACCTTTTCAGCGCGACTGCTGTTTCCGTCGTTTGTCAGTCACTCTGCCGCTTGCTGGCCTTGCTGGGTCGATGATGTCATAGCTTTTACTTTTTACATCATCAGAATTCACAGGCAAAGGCATAAAATGTGTAGGTTTGAGGAATCGAAAACAAAATTGTCCAGTTTCAAATTTTGTTTTCGACTCAAAAATAAACTTAACCTATCAGTTTCCATTTCAAAAAAGGCTTAAAAAAATAGAGTCTCATTATTGTCCCGGCTCTTTAAAGTCAAATTGTCTGTGGATTATGGAAGTTACTTAAACTTGGCATTACCATAATGATTATAACTTTTAAATAATTGAAATGCAAGTCTAAAAGTCTAAAGAATTGTATGTTAACTAGCGACAACGATTATAAGTAAATTAAAAATTGCTTACAAATCACTGCAGATAACGACCTAGTATCATAAGTAAGTAGGTAATGTGATACAAAGCCGCACAACACTAAAATGCATAAAAAAATACACTGTATTTTTAATTTAGGATTTAACACTAAAATGCATTTAAAAGAGCGCAGCCTTTTTAATTTACAGATGCATTAAATTAAATCCACAGGCTAAGCCTTTAAATACAATGGGACATAGAAAGAAGTGGATACTTAAATTAAAATTTATAGGCTATGCCCCTGCCAAGTTGTTTCAGTAATGCTTCGTTATTGCAACCCGCAATTTATTCTGGAGTAAGTGAAAACGAGTGTCGTTTGTTCCAATTTATGGATAGAGTTTTTTTCTTTTCAAAAAAGCAACGTCATCTTGCTATTAACCATTTTGCTTGGCAAGCACTTTAAGCTTTTAAATTAGCTAGCAGGGGTAAAAAAAGATATGAAAATTAATGCCTTATCTAGTTTTTACTAGTGGTTTCATCCGCGTGAAATTTTGTGTCACAGAAAAACTTTATCGCGAGGCGTCCCTGTTTCAAAAACCGGGATAAAACTATCTTACGCCCTTTTCTGGGCCTCAAACTAAACCGCCAAATTGAATAACTTTATACCCATTGTTTTTGTGTATCAAAAGCTGACAAAAACAAACCAAATCCCTTATCGTTAATGGAGTAACTAATTATCATTATCTTTATCTGAAAAAATCATTTACCTTATCTAAATTAGAGCCTACAAGTGGACATGTCATTTTTCCCTCCACTTAGATACTTTACTATATTTTTTCATTCATAAAATCTATTAGTGAAGAGCTTTTAGCTTCTAAATTGAATTTCCAGCGCATCGGAGCCTGAATGCAGAGGTGAAAGCACTTCAGTCAGTAAAAGTATGTCAATTCATTGAATATCTATCAATAGAACATTGATATTGAGCAGGGTTCCTCCTGTTTATTTAGCTATGGAAATGAGAATAACTGCTCAAGACTTTTTTCGCTTCGTGATATTTTCGTGATCTCGAAATTACAACTAACTATTATGTTTTACCACTTGTCTAGGGGGGCCAGAAGCCAGATGCTTTGAAAAAGTCTCAGGGACGATGTACCTACATTTTTCTTATTCCACACGTCTTCTTACTGTACCTATAACTATACGGAAACGGATGCACTTGTGCTACTTTTGCACGCAAAACATTTTTAATAGTGGCTGTTAACATCTCTAGCTCCACAATATTTACGGCAGTGGGCGAAGTCTGTGCCCTGCTATGAGGGCCTTCATGAATAAGTTGGACGTGAAATTATTCGCTACACTATGACGTAAAAATGAGTCTAAATACTTAAAAAAGACAAATAGGGCTTACCGTTTTAAATCCCCTGTACATAACTCTGATTTCCTGTTTAGAAAACTTTGTCTGTCTACACAGCTCCTCCAAGGCGACAGGAATCGGCTTCGGCGTCCGACTCGGCTCCAACTCGTACGCATGCTCCTCTACAGGGGACTCTGGAGGCGTCGCCATCTTGAATCGTCACTCGATCACTTAACACATGATTCCAAAATCACAGTTCCGTGTCTTTGCCCCGTCACTAAACTCTCATAGCTGTCAATTTTTGGCGCCAAAGTTGACAGTTGTTTTTTTAATTAAATCCTGGCTTTGGACATCGAGGAACGTGTAAATGGATGGTTCGAGGGCCGGATCTGAAACAAATATTAAAAGACCGTTAGGTTTTTCGTGTTGCCAATGTTATTATCGCAATAAATTATTCGGCGACATGATAAATGCCCGAAACTAATTTAATCGAACCTCACGACCGTTCTTGGCTGGCGCTCTGCCATAGAAATATTTCGCGGTGTAAGGTGGGACATTATAAAGATAAGTTATATGTCTACTTGAATTTATTGCTTATTTGTTAAGTTATTCATACAGTTTATAAATTTAATATCGACCGCTTGCACTGTGTTGATTTATTTTTATTTTTAGACAGACATGTTAAGTCTCCACTGCAGGAGCACATGGAGTGTTGAAACTCCGTCGCCTTTTTCAGCCTTTGTAAATTTAAGGAAATAATAGTTACATTCAGACAATAAAGTTTCAATTTGTTATTCTTTCATTGAATCATTTTAAACTCGCTTTAGTTTTATTTACACGAAATGTCCAAAAGACATTACAGTTGGATGAGTTTATTTTCCTTCAGCACATTATTTTGAGATCTTATAATGTTTTAATGAAGTATTATTTCAACACAGAACATTATAAAATTGAATATAATTTACATTAGAAGTTTTGTTCCCTATATTACTCCGAGTAATTTAATATTAGAACTGTAACATTTTGTGAGAATGGTTAGCTGTTTCTTATTCTTTCACTGACAACTACTGAAGGTATTTTCATGAAAATGTACCTATCTAAAGACAGTCGAATGAATTGGCCATATCAATGATAAGTATAAAGTAAATGTTAAGTCCGTCTTTCTGTGACAAAAGAATACTCGTCGGGCGAAGCCGAGAGCAAAAGCTAGTTGATTATAACACTAAAATTGGCGTAAATAGAACGCCCTTTATAAAACCAGCCTGTGTATCCCTTCCAACTAAACCGCACCACTTAATGATATTGAACCCTGCAGGGATATAACTAAAAATATTGTGTAAATAAAATCCCCTATCCCACATGTTGGTTTTTATTAAAAAGGGTTACTTCTTTTACGAGAACGCCGGCCGATATTAGAACAGATACTTTTACGTTCAATAAAAATATCACGTTACGTAGCCGGTAGAGGTGAGTGTAAGTTACGGCACTATTAGTCAGAACCGAAACTTCTATGTATAATAATAATAATATGTATGTAAACCGAAACTTTATTTTTCTTTTCTTTTTTTGGAATCTGATTTCATCTGTGATGTGTACGTCATAGTTTAGGAATACAAAATACAAAATTAAAATACAAAAAAGTTAGACATCCGTTGAATACGTAGGTACTTACTTAAAATGAAATTTCAACGCGCGTCTTTTGAAATAAGGGCCTAGCCTAGTAGTTTATGCATATTAATATTCATATTAAGTTGGTACATAACAAAAACTATGTATTGTAGGTACAAGCCATACGAAGCCATAATCACTACATAGTATAAACAATATTGCTTTCCGCTGTCTGTCCCTATGTAGGTATGCTTAGATCTTTTAAACTACGCAACGGATTTCGATGCAGTTAAGGATAGAGTGATTCAAGAGGAAGGTTTATTATAAGTATACTTAGCACCCGTGCGAAGCCGGGGCGGGTCGTTAGTAAAGAATAAAAGAAAGAAAAGAAAACACATTTTTTTACATAACATTAAACTTTTAAGTACCCAAATACTGTACCTCCTATTTATTTAAAAGTTGTTAAAAAAAATGCCTTATTTAATAAAAAAAAACCACATCAAAACAACCTAATAGTGAAATCTTACTTTGGACGGTAACGGAACGGAACGGAAAACGCTACTTTGGACAAAAAGCTTACGTTCATATTTAAGTAGATTGGATTACAAATTCAATCGTATCTGATTCGGATCTGTTTTACATCGCCTGCCAAATTTATGGACACTTGAAAACCCAGCTGTAATGGCCAGATTTATTGTTTAAATAAACTTCCATCATGACGCCTCGAGAGAGTCATAATGTAACTGTACAATCCGGTCGAGTTTACTGCGCACCTGGCAGCTGTGACGTCACATCGACGCTCTGATACAGACGCGAGGGAGAGTCGCATTCCAAATAGGTGTGCAGTTAGCTCGATGGGTAGACATTTTGGCGGAAATCAACTTTTTCGAACAAAAGGAATGAAAAGTAGAATTATGAAAGAAAACGAAAAAAAAATAAAATAAATGTCAACGCGAAATTGTGAAATCCGTCAGTTTATAATATAACGCGTCATATTGTAAACTAACAGTGGGTTAGGTTAGATTAGATTGTAATCTATCTAGGTACGTCAGATTATAATCTGACGGAATTCACAATATTACGGTGACATATCCATGAGCTTTTTACATTGCGCTATCTAGGCCCAAACCATAAAGTAATGAGTCCAAAACTAAGCAAAGCTGTATTTATTTAGGACAACAACCAACAAGTATTTCCACATCAAAAAGTCAAGTAACTTAAACTTAACGTAAAGGACAGACTTGACCTTCACTGGTTGGGTTTTTACTGGCGGTTAAGCTGTAGATCCTGGCTACACAGGACTTGCAGCGGTGGGAACGAGAGGTGGGAATAGTCCCATTTAAGGACGTTTAGAAGATTCATTTAACGTCCATGTAAATTTATAGTTTACGCGTAGGTAAAGATTAAGTGATAGATCGAAATACATGACGAGCGAAGCTACGGGCAATAGCTAGTCAAGTAAACATTGATAAAATGACTCTACAATACCGTATTACAGTATCTGTGAGTGTTATTTTCTCTCAGTAGTTCCTAAACCTATTTTTGTTCAGTCTTAATCGTTTTCAAGGTTGAATGTTTTTATTTGCACGTTGTAATTCATTTGATTTGTTTTTGAAAGCGTTTGATGCTGTGAGAGTAAAAACTATTCAATAGACTACTAAAACAAGTTTTTTCTTCGGATTAAAAAACAGTTTTATGCGTTCATTTCAGCCAAATCCACTGCTATACAATGACTTCCCCCAAGGATTTCTTTAACGACCGATCTTGTCTTCTTCCTGCATCCAGGTACGACCTTCGTCGACCAGATCGTCGATCCACCAAAAATAGTTAAAACATTTTTAAAAAGATGCTTTTGAATCCCATCAAGACGGAAACTAAAACAAGCCCAGACATGAATTTGCTGCTGTAAATTGTCATTGGGAAGTTTGTAGTCTGCAGGTGTTTAGAAGCATTAGATTCTTCTCAATATAACGTTGTATTTGATTGTTCTAAAATTTCTAAGAACAAAACATCCCTTTACTATTTCGAAATATTCAGGTGCTTATTTTCTTTGAAAATTTTATTAATGCTACAATCTATAGTATCTACAACAAAATTTAACCTGCAAACCTAATTTATGAGCAGCCAAGCGTTTAATCCCAAGCTCTGATAGGCCATTCAAAACAAATCACAATCTCAATCAAGATAGATTAGCATGCTCAAATGACAGGAAGCCAAGCCGTTACTGGCCGGCTGCCATATTGGTTTTCGGAATGCGCGGGAAATTTGACAGTTAATTGAATAGCGCCATTTTGAAATTTTACGCGCGAATTTGGCGTGGTTTTCTTTTATTGTCTTTGGTAATGCGATTCTGCTTGGCCAGTGTTTTGATTGCTCTGTAGTTTTAGAAAATAAAAAGGAGAATTTATTTTAAGATCTAGTCTTTTATTTTCTGTGCATTTTATTTTTATTTCATGCTCGTATAAAATCTGCATAGCTTTTGTTTTTGTTCTCAATTATAGTTCTACGAGTATAGCTTTAGAGCTTAGAGAGATCTTTATGTGGAATGCATTAAGTTTTATTATAATTACATAGGTACGGCTATCTTTACCTTAATAATCGTAAAACGAGTATTTTTATTTTTAGTTTTTTCTATGATTCCATAGAGCTTTGTAAGTGTTGCAAATGGGTAAGGGCTGCGGGATGCGCTTTTTGCAGGAACTGTTTTTAACTGATTTCTTATAGGACTGATTTCTTGAAGGAACTGTTTTCTTATAACATTCTCAGGAATATCCCGTTTGCAGTGTCCCGCAAAACATCGATCCGTTCGAATTTAAAGTTGAATCGACGTGGTTTAGGGCCCTACCTTGATTCTCATTCTTAATTCGATCACGAAACGCGGGCGAATCCGCTGTCAAAACTAGTGAAAATTAATTTAAAACTCAATCAACTCGTTTACACGTTGGCAGCACTGTTAGTAAACAACACGTCAAACAACTCAAGCGGCGCCGGCGCCGGTATTTCGGTGCGCAGTTTTCAAACTGTCCTTCTGACATTGTTGTGACATAAGATTGCTGTACAGAATTTATGAGTACTTGACACTGGCCAAATGGGCAAATCGCAAAGTCATAAAAAATTGACTTTTTGGCGGGAAAGTGAAATGTCATGAACAGATAAAAAAATTGACTCTTGGCGGGAAAGAGAAACGTCATGTTCAGTATTATTTCATTTTTTGCTGAATAATGTATAATAATAATAATAATGGTAGGTGTTTAAAGCTAGTAACCTACAATAATTTGAAGGTGACAATAACCTTAAGGTTTTGGTGTCAAGTCACTGATCTGAAGGTCACTGGTTCGACCCTTTCGACCGCTGGACTAAAAATTATTGTGGTACCTACCTACGAGTATTTGTAGTGAAAGCACTCCTAACACAAGCATAATAGGTATTTAGCTTATTTGGGTGGGCGACTTACAATCCGTCATACATTTAATGTAATTTTTTTACACGCTCACAGACGACGTTTATGTAAACTTATACCACGCCCCCTGTAGTCTATGGATGTCTTTACGACTTGTATGCTCACTAAGCTCACTGAAGTCTGCAATCAGCATACACTTGGTATCGCGACTGCTATCTTGCTGGCTTCCGTGTGACCTACATTTCGGATGCTCATTTTGGGAGGCACAATCTAAAAGAAATGGCGGTTGAGTCATTTCTATTCGAAGATATTAATTAATAATTGCGTAAATATTTGACAAGTCCAGTGTAACGGATTTGCACGTCAACTGTTTAATATTAA